ATATATTTATATTCATATAATTTATATCATATATAAATATATTTAAAATATAAAAATAACTTATTTTTCTTAAATATATACACGCATGTGAGTGTATTTATATATACATAATAAATATACACAGTACACACACATATATTATGTACACAACAACTTTTATTTTGGATGCGTTGCCCAGCACTAATATTATTACAATTTAAAATAACTGTTTTCTATTTGAATACTGTACATTTTAAAATGCAAAGTTGAATTTTCAGCAGCCATTACTCCAGTCTTTAGTGTCACATGATCCTTTAGAAATTATTCCAATATGTTGATTTAGTGCTCAAAAATATTTATTATTATCAATGTTGAAAACAGTTGTGCTGCGTAGTAATTTTTGTGGAAACCATGATACATTTTGTTTTTCAGGATTCTTTAATGAATACAAAGTAAAAAAAGAATACAAAGTGAATCTATTTCAAATATAAAATCTTTTACAACATAAAATGTCTTTACTGATCCATTAAGCAATAAAACCGTAAAGTGTGTTCTAAGAAGTTCATAACATTTTAAATAACCAACTTCTAAATGAACTGAAATAACTGTCATAATGAAAAACACAAGCATAAAGGTGAAAGGTAGTATTAGCAGGACTAAACTGAACTCGAAAAAGTGAATAAAACCACTTAAATTCAACTAAACTGATTCGCTGTTGAAGTGAAGCAAATTTCTCAAGCATGAGGCAAAATGTCAGGAGCTCATCTATCGTGAGGTACGAGTAAAGAGTTTGTGGGATGCTTTGAGTGGAAGTGCTCACACATGACCAGTCGATACTCTCCTGAAACTGTCACACTGTGGCGGAAGAGGGAATAAATCTCTCCTGAGAATGGCATGCCAGTGCGAGTTATTGGGGCCCTACCGTAAAAGTGCATTGCATCACTTAATATAATCAATCAACAGCCCACAGAAATCTCCATAAATACAGCGTGAGGGGCTTTCAGAGGCAGATCCATGAGAGGTCAGATCACCGAGGGACTTAATATGGCAGACACTGAGACCCCACTAGACTGTAGTTAATGATGATTTTGTCTCCTTACTACCATCCTGTTGCCTCCTCTGATCTCTCAGTGTCTCGGTATAATTGTAAAAGAAGAAGTTAATTACACCATCTCCACTCCTGAACTTTGCTGTCAGAATGATTTCCAACTGGGACAGAAAATCCAGCGACGTGGGCAGAGTCTGGGACAGTGCTTCTATATACCACAGCCACTGTCTAAAAACATATCATGTGCCAGTTCAGCAAAGAGCTACTATTCTATTGGGTCAGTAGCAACTGTCATAACTCATGTATATAAATAATAATAATATATGTTATAAAAATATATTTTAATTAAAATGTCAGTCATCTATCTATCTGTATATATACATGTATAGATAGATAGAAAGATAAATGTACTGTAGATATAGATTTATAGATGTGTATGTGTGTGTGTGTGTGTGTGTGTGTGTGTTGTAATCAATGTTCTATCAATGTTCTAATTGATGAATTTGGTGACCAAAATATTCTTTTCATGCAAAATGACTTTAACTAATAAAACGTTAATTCTTAATGACATCATTCTCTAGGAACATCATTTCACCGTTTTGTCATTTTTTGTGGTTTAAGTTGATTTGTCTCTCTTTAAAACATTCCATCATATGTGATAAAATTACAGAACTTGATATGATTTAAAAAATTGCTTACAAAATTTTAAAAGGCTGTGTGTGTGTGTGTGTGTGATTATATATATATATATATATATAAAAAAAAAAAATTATATATATATATATATATATAAATTACCTATTGAGGGTCGAAATCCTCATGTAGGTAAACTCTTAGTCACTTACTGAGCAATGGTTAGGATTAGCACTTTATTTCTATCCCTAACTTGCCATTGTGTAAAAACAATCAAGTATAATTGCTGCATTACTTATTGAGCATATTTCTGGAATTCTGATATAGACTTCTGACTGCTTTTATAGAAATACTTCCTCAAATTAAAACACAAATGTGTTACAAAGCTCAATATATATTGCATAAGAGGAGTGGACCAATTGTTGGTTCCAGAAGGTATGATTTACACCGATCTGAAGACAACAGCTCACCATTTTGTTTGGCTGTTTCGTAGTCATCCTTGCACACGAGCCTCCCGTCCTCCATGAGGTAGAACTCATCACCGGTGGCCAGCTGCCTGCTGCACATTACACAAGCGAAGCAGTGAAGGTGGTACACAAAGTCCTGAGCTTTCCGGACCACCTGCGTCGGGGGAATCCCCTGCTGGCACGATGCACATTTTGTCCCAAAACGCCTGCAGGTACAAATATAGACACTTCAGTTTGATACAGATTCAAATTCAGGTATTATGCAGCTACAAAGACATGATTCCTATTTTCTGTTGAGCCAGGTTACAACCATTTGTTCAATGATTTTCACATAATGAAGACATTATTTTATGCCTAATCCGTATTCCAAGGTTACAATTATGGTCAATAACAGAAGAAAATGCAAACATGACGCAGATGTTTTCTACATCTATTGGTGTTTTACTGCGTCCAAACAGTGACAGAAAATTACAGATTTTGTGAACAAATGCTTATTTATAAACTTGTGTTTAACACAGGTGTGTTTACGTTCATTGACATTAAATGGAGCATTTGAACATATTTTCCCACTCCTTTGCAGATTATAAGTTAAATGATACATTTTGAATACTTCTTTTTGCCATTAAAAATGAAACTTTTGACATTTGACTGCTTTTGTTATTTAGATAAGTGCATTAAAGCTGATATATACATATATAATATGAAAAATATGTTATTTTGTGAAAAAAAATATTTTCTAATCATGTATACAGTATATATGCATGTATATAAATAATAATGTTAATTTGTACTTATACATTTTGAGAATATTTTTAAATATTCAAATGATAATTAATTTAAAATATAAGTATTCAAATATATATATATAAATATAAATACTGTATATCAAATATAAATATATCAAATATATATAAATATATAATTGTTAATGCTACCTTTTGTTATTTTGATGAGTGCATTAAAGCTGATACACATATCATTTGAAAAAGTTTTCTTCTTTGTGAACAAAACTGTGTGTGATGGAATATAAATAATCATGTATAATAAATAATATTTCTAAAATTACATTAAAATAAAGTTTTTATTGATATTTTTGAACTCATTATTACATTTTCTGCAAATCAGCATTATTTTTTTTCAAGTTGCAGGGCTGTGTTATTAAATGTTGAAATGAACATTAGTTAAGATTATGTAATGCTGTATAAGTATTATTCATTCTTAGTTCATGTTAACTAATGTTGTTAACCAATGTTAACAATTAAAACCTTATTGTAAAGTGTTACCCAAACTCGTTTTAGGGATTAAGCATCATTACATCTTGAATTTAACTGTGGCTATTTTCATAAGCAATCTATTTATAACTGCAAAGGCTGCAATAAGTTACAAAAGCTCAGAATACTATAGCAGGCATCTTTGTTTGTGCTTGTCATGTCCCTGGAGTTGACAAATGGTCTTGATCAATGTAGCAGAGGCAGAGAGATTCACAGGAGAGAGAGATAGAGAGAGGGGCCTCTAAACGCACATACAGAATGCCTCATAAAGCACTGAGTCAGAATAGGCTGTAAATCACAGTGTGAATACTACTAAATAAACCCTCCTTTTACTTAACCAAGGTGAAGTTTTTGCAACATTAACAGGAAGGCCAGCCCCCGCCCCTCGCCTGTGAAGCGCCAGCATTTCCTCCTCCATCCCCCTCTCCATCCTCCTCAGCAGCACCACCACGGTCTTAACATTAAAATCCCTCCTTTTGTCCCCACGGGCTTGCTAATAAAGTTAGCCTCCACTCTGAGTCTTGCTAGCGTTTTAGGTCTCATTGAAGCCTGTGACATTAAAACCTCTCAAACATGATTTGGTAAAAGCCACTACTGATCCTGTTTTGGATAAAAGTCAAACTTAATTTCCTTCCGTAAAGCCAAGGGGAAAATCCAATCGCAAAAAAGAAGAAAAGAAGAAGGAAAGGGAAGACACAGGGAAGAAGAGAAAAAAAAAATGCAAAGTTGCTTTCTTGAGTTCTTATATAGCACTGGGAATTGAATTTGGGAACATGCGGTCTTTGCGGCCGAGTTCCAGCACACTGTGCTTCCTAACCTGACACGAGAAAAATCACTGCACTTTATTAACCATGACAGAGAATCTATGTGCCAGCCTTTCCTTGAACATACTCTCCCCCCCACACACACACACGCTAGTGCCAAACAGCACTAAAAAGCACAAGGAATCAGATGTGAAATGCCTCTGTGTGAAGAGATTTGACAAAGCTGTTGTCTGAAACAGTCCGGTTCTCCAGTCCTTGATAATTCATGCAGCCAATACAGTGACCGAAACAATGTCCAGCATAGAACAGAAATTAAATAACATCTCTCATCATATTATGTACAATGATGTACTGGCCTACATAAGATTTTGCTCCATTAATGACTTAAAATATGCATTTATTTAATTGGATAAGTAAAGGTTGACTGTCTTCTATTTGTTTAGTTAGCCTATGTGATCTCTATTTGTCATATTCTAAAAAGAATTCATATTCATAATCACATCACATTTTGCTTTGCATTCATCAACAATAGTATGTGCTTAAAGTATTTATGATAGCAGCCTTGATTTTATTGTTTAGCTTCATAAAATGTATTAAACAGGAATAAAACAGAGAAATTAGACTAAATAGACAGACAGACAGACAGACAGACAGATAGATAGATAGATAGATAGATAGATAGATAAAGAATAAAACATTGATATAAGATATAACCTGATGGTGGGGAAAGGTAAATGCTAACAGTGCAAGAGAACATGGACTCACTTGAAGAAATCCTCTTTGCAGTAGACATTCCCCGCGCGAGAGAAACACTTGTCTGCCAGGAGCGCGTGACAGTCGGCGCACTTGAGACATTTTGAGTGCCAATGTCGATCCAGCACCTTCAAAATAAACTTATCCAGGATGTTTTGACTGCAGCCTGCGCAGTGAGGGATTTCTGGAGAAACACACGCACAGAAAGCGATTTGGGTGAAATGTGCTTACAGAAATGCTGAACTTGGTTTAAACAATATTTAGATAAAGTAACACTTTCTGACATTTCTAATAGGTTTAATTATTTTAAGTCAATAACAAATATGGTTGCATTATATAATGCTGGACAGCCCGTTAGGTATTGCACATTCAAATAAACAGAAATATCGTGAATTTACGCTTCACAGCCTACTTTATGTGTATTAATTTAATTGAAAAAGCTATTGATCTGTAATAATCTGGGGTAGGCCTATAGAAGCAGCAACGATCATACTATTTAAAGTTCTTAAATAAGTTACATGAAAAAAATGTAATCGCAAGGTGCTTGACTCGAAATAATTTTAGCATTAGGCTACTCCGCTCGAGTGCATTATTAAGAAACGTACAACCTTCTGTTAAAGTAAAATGAAATAAAACCCTAATAGTGATGGGGAAAATACTGAGGATACCTCTACTTTTTAAAAATGTAATTAACATTTAATATTTGTAAAAAGTAAACGACATCACAAAAACTGACAAAGAATTATGACAACAGCATTGAAAAAGACAAGAATAAAAACAAATACATGTATACTACTAATAATAGCATGCGCATGGAATTGTTATAATAAATAAGACTTGTATAAAATTGTTAAACAAATGCTATTTAATATTAAAAATATATAAATGCTGTGCTTAGTAAGTGATTAACGGACTTTAGAGATTAGTGTGAAAGTAAATTTGGAGTACCTTCCACAAGACAACCTATGGGACCCGTAAACGCTGGACAGGTGAGGAAAGATGTCCATTTGTTGGTAAATAATCAATATCCCAGAAGAAAACAGGCGAGGACATGAGGACATTGAGATTGAAATCATATAACTGGTCCATCGATTCTTTAACAGAAACAGTCTGTCACTTCAATTACTGTTGCTCAAGAACAAGTGCTCGAACAAAACAAACACACAAATCCGAAATCTAAAACCAAACAGAAATAAAATGCAATTGATCTTATTCCTTAAAATAGAGGAAACCCGTTTAAGCGTTCAGAGAATGAGAGCAATACTCGATATAATTTCTTCAAATCACAATATCATGACATTTAATATCGATATTTGACCTCTGATCCTCTATTCTTTCTGTCGGCAAGTTCTCACACGTGCTGTTTTAATGGATTCAACAAAAGCCAGGATTCTAATATGACGCAAGAGGATAGTATTTTTATCAAAGAAATCATTTTGATTTCAGCAGGTGCTAAAATGCGTAATCACGTGAATAGCGTTTTGTGCGTCATGTAAACGTACGGCAAATGTCTCAAAGTTCATCAAAACGGACCTCTACAGCAACCATAGCCAATAATATCACAATGACAGAGAACAGTGTTATCCACACAACCACGAAACACCATCAACACTAAAACAATGCGGTAAACATGAACTAAACAACACTGTAACATAAAATACATAAAATAAATGTAAATAACATCAAACACACACACATTTTAAACGTAATGCAAACAAATGAGAATCAAAATGTGATTCTGTGAATGACCCTTACTCATAAAATAACAAGCGTTTTTGTTTGTTTGTTTTATTTTTACAATTTTACCTAACACAATATTTTACCGTAAAATTGTACGAGTTAAATATATTGTTTTGCCTCAGTATATCCTATAGTATTTTAAAATATAAAATAATGTTATGTTCCCGTTTCTGGTAAGTTAATTTACAGGTAATTAACTATTTTTACCGTAGCATTTTACGTTAGTATATCCTATAGTATTTTAAAATATAAAATAATGTTATGTTCCCGTTCTGGTAAGTTAATTTACAGGTAATTAACTATTTTTACCGTAGCATTTTACGTCCTTGTTCCGTTGAAATGACTGTGCTGATAGTGCTGTGTGTGTGGTGCTGAAGGAACAGCGCCCAGCGCAGCTTCACTCACTCAACCGTCTTCAGCTTTTAACGCTCATTTACTCTAAGGATGTATTTGATTAGCCAGTCAATTAAAAGATGGCTACCACGACATGACTTCCTTTAACTTCAACGTATGCATCTGAAATATACCAATTCACTTTTGTTTCGTCTGATACTGGTTTTAAATCTTTGTTTTATCATTCAACACATTCTCATTTACATCTCGTTGTCGTGCAGGCTTCTATTTTCGAATGTTTTCTTTAAAAAAAAAAAATTACCCATATGTTGTTTTAAAAGCACCTTATTCATTTGAATAATAATATTTAGATCCATAACGCAAGAACAGATTATTCTTAAAATAATCCTCACTTAATCCATCATTTATACACCAAGGGGGGTTGAGTAGCAATATCTTTTAATCTATATCATTTAATGAAATTAAGCATTCGCCACTGACAGACTTATATTGCCTACTTAACCTTTTGGCCATTCTTTAACAAATAAAGTGGTTCGTTTTCTTTCAAATTATTTTCCAGCATTTTCATCAGTCTTCAGTTAAATACCCTTTGTTATTTTATTATGCACGGATCTAGTGACTAAAATTATGTTTTCTCTTTTTTTTTGAAAGAGGTAGAAACCAAGTCTGGTTCAAACAAGATGAGGTCCATCTGTACATTTCTGAAGCACGACTGTGAATAATTAGGTCAGGAATGTATCCAATTCAAACTCCATCTTGATGGTGAGATCAGATTATATAGGCCTAACGCAGATTAATTTGCGACTGATAAAGACCAGATGCGAAGATAATAGGCAATGCCTTTTAAAATATTAAATGTTCATGTACTGTATCTAGATGGTTTTATAATCTCTATTTCATTGTGACAAATAACATGGGATACACTCTGCCCCATTTAACCACTGCATTATAGAAAATCAGATTAATTATTTTTATATATATTTGTTTAGTTTCTAGCATCTTTTAGACTGTTGTTCCCAACCACAACCAACACAACTTGTTAAAAAGATGCAATGTAACTGTTCTAGCCAGCTGTGCGATCTAACAATCTGACTAATCAGAAATCAGTCTGGCTATATATAAATTTACATTGTGAGATTATAAATCTACATTTACACCAGACAAATTTTTTCGATGCTATTGCATGAATTCTGTTGCAGAGAGACCATATTCAAAAAGAACATTCATCAGTTCTCATCACAAACTAATATTTGGGATCTAATGCTCGAGATTAGATCAGAATTTCTGATTAACGATATATACAGTTTAAGACATTTAGATTAAAATAATAATAAAGCTATATGCGTCTGATTTGATTTTACCACCCAGATAGTAGTTCGCGTATAAGGAGTTTAATTAAAAGCTAGGCTACATGTTATTCAACAGTGGTGGCCCGCAGACGCCCGGAGGAGGCCTGCCAATTTTCTGAAGAACTAATCAATATAAGCAGAAGAAAAAGCCCTTACGTTGCAGTGACACTCCGAGGATGTCCGGCAGACCCTTCACTGCGCTCTCGCCGGGCAACACAGCCGCACTTTGCATCATTTTCATCCAGTCCGAGAAAACGCGCACATGCACCCGCTCGCGGAGGTCGGAGAATCTCAGATGTGCGTAAAATATTTTTTCTCCCCGGATAGTGTCCTTTTACAGTCCTCGCGCCTGTGGTTATCCTCGTGAAATAGTCGCTCGTGAGTTCGGGCTCGTGCGTTCTTTTGCCGTGTGTCACACAAACCGCTTGATTCATTCACACTGCAGGGGCGACCCTGACGTCACTCCCCCGGGGGGCCAATGGGAGGCGTGGACGGGAGCGAGAGGGGCGGGAACTTCTGCGGCTTGCGCTCTCAGGTGAGCGGAGAAAGCGATAAGGAAGTGATGACGATAAATACAGTGCCGCGACTGAAACCTCAGGATCTGAAGTGTTTTGAACAATTTTGTGACCTGGCAGGGGTCCGTCAAGCAAGTAAAGTAAATATTAGGCCTACGTGAATATTTAATAGGCCTACGTAGTTTCGATTCAGTGTTGCTTTATACGAATATAGCCTATATATATTGGGATGTACTGTAGCCTATTTAGACAGCCTAGTTAGACTGTAAAAATATTAATAACAAAAAATACGTAAAATGTTAGTGAACCCTGTTAATTGATTGCTTGTACGTTACCTTAACATACACTGTAAAATAAAAAATACTACTAATAATAAAATGTAAATTATTTCATTTTTTACTGTAAGAAATTGTAAAAAAAGAAAAGAGTATGAATTACAGTTATAAATTATCCCCACATCCTGAGAAAATTTGTAGTCAATATGTAGGCTATACTCACTGTAAGATAACTTATACTGTTAAAATTGTTAAAATATATAGTGAATTCCATCCGTGCACTATTACATTAGTTTACATTTTATTTAAAAGTAGGCTAGTTGGTTTCTTTTTTAATCTATCTTTTAATCTAATATTTTCATTAGCCTACATGTTAGGCTACACTTTAAATGCCTGAAAATAGCTCTCATAATTTCGCCCTGTTGACCGGAACAGTTCGCAGGACAAACACACGACTCAACAGTGCCTGGAATACTTTTGCTAAAAATACAAACTCAAGTGAGCCTTTACGTTGTTTATCAGCAGTCTCGACACAGTCGATCCTGACAAGATCATTTCATTCGAGCTTTTCTCCCTCCGGAGAGAGCGGAGTTCAAGCGAGATGAACTCAATCTTCACTTCCAATTCTCTTAATGGACAGTATAATGCGGCGCGTGAGCTCGCGAGCTCTGACAGTCACCGCTTCATGAAAACAAGCTTCAGAATGGAGCAGCCAGTCTCTTCATCGTCAGTCTGGCTGCTTTTCCACGTAACCTGTATCACGTATGTCTTTTGTGTTCCTTTTCTTATACCCCACTCCTCTCATTCTCATTTTTACAAATAGCCTACATAAAAGCACATTTTTTTATATTACAACATATGTTATGCAAGATCTGTGAGATGCTATAATCAAGAAGATTGCCTACAGTAAACGGCTGATGCGCGAAAGACAAAACTGTGCATATAGGCTACTGCAATTTGTAGTTTTCTGTAAACAGAAATACACATTTTATAAATTGTAAATACTATTTATAAAATATTTTTAAAAATAAGGTTAGGCTATTTCAAATGGCACATGAAATTCATCATTTCATAATTCTATTAAATTCTATCAGAATGCATTATGTAGTTCTACCTACCTTCTAACAAACAATTCTATCCAACACACAACACTTAACTGATTTTATATCTCTCAGTCTGCTGGTCAGTCTTGTTGAAACCAGTTAATGACAAATTTCAGAACACCAATTAATAACAAATGAAAAGCAATAACAATCTAAATTCTTCCACTTGAGACTGGAGGCACACAAAGTAACATCCAATACAGATAAAAATCGTCTCGTTTATACACAGCATATTTCAATCCCTGATTATCTTGCTTGTCTGATGTAAAAAACAAAAAGTGTATACAATTATAAATCATGGACAGCTATGTTACAGGGATATGTAAATAAGAAGTGGATGTCATCAAAGTCCGATTATCTCAAGTTTTAAACAACGCAACCCCGTCCAGAGTCTTGCTTAATGGCTCCAGTGTAATTTAGTTAAATGAAAGTGATCATCAAGCTGATTAAATGGTGGCAAACACAGCAGTCCTCAAGCTTCACCAGATTCCCTCTGCATGGGCCAATGGTGGACACGGGAATTATCCCGGGCCACGTTTTTCATTTTCATTTTGATTATGGCGAGGAGTTATTATGCAGATTATTCAATTACGCTGATGGTCAAGTGAAAATGTGAATTTAGTCTTGCTTAAACAGAACAGAGGAGCAAATGCTCTTAATGCTCAATGTTTTGCCACACGATTAAATACATTAATCCGCGTACAGTGGACGCGTTTTCACGAGCGCGCAGCTCTTTTGCGTCTCAAAGTCAGTTTAAGGCACTATAAAACGAACTAAAGGGCACCTGTCCGAACAATGAGAGACCTGTGCACTATAATTCAGCGATAGGGTGCGACTCCCGCTGACCCGAGCACCTTTAATTACTGCCAGTATTTCACATTATACGCATTCTGACACCACGAGCTGCTGCTCCATCATATCAGTAAAATACAGGTCTCTGAACGCGATCATTAAGAGATCAGATTTCAACCCCTTAACCTCCTCCTGCGAGGCCATTGAGCTTATACTTAGACCAATTCATGTGAACATTACTACTATACTGAAAGCAAAATTAGGACCGTGTCATTATAATCAAATAAAGCATCCCTTAAGAGACTGTACGAAACACAATCCGTTTAAATAATTATAAATGGGTGAAATAACTATCATAAATGAACTATTCCCTCCGGTGAGAGTAGAAGTTGAAGAATGTAGACAAATATGTAGCTATTTACCGATAAAGATGTATTTTAATATGCCTATAGTTTAGCATATAACGTGATTTATAATGCTAAATATTCATCTAAATCAGAAAGTTCATTTGATAAATAGAATCCACTCAAATATCTCTAAATCCATATCCTAAAAAAAATAAAAAAAGAGGAAAAGAAAAGAAAGAAAGAAAGAAAGAAAGAAAGAAAAAAAGAAAGAAAGAAAGAAAGAAAAAGAATGTCTAATCAGATGGGGAGAGTTTCCAATTGTACTTGAGCCACAAATATTGCACAAAATGGGATAGTGTATAATGTTTCTATTTGTTGTTTTGACCTAAAATCTTAATACTAAATTACATTACTAGAAATAGTGATGACGGGGGATTACATAATTATGCACAACATTTAAAACGTCCATGTTTACAACCCACCTCCGGAGTGAGGCAGATTCTGACAACCGCTCTCTTTGTACTTTTTTTTTGTAATTTACACCATTTAAGCAGAAGTTGCTTAATCTCTAAAGTTTAATTTGTTGCACACAAATACGAGAATTGTGTTCTTATGCTGACAAACACAGTTATAAACACACAGTTACAAACAAATAATTCTCACTCTCCCATGCTGACTAATAGCCTTCACGTCAAATGCTGTTTGTTAAAATAAAACATTTCAGACAGTTTCATGCGCAGAAACATCTTCAACAAATACGACTCGAATACGACACGAAAATAAACAATGTTTGCGCGCTAAAAGAAGCACGTCACGTCTCAGAGAGCGTCATGCAAACCTACCGACAGTCGCGTGGCATGTACATTTCTACGCTCACTACGCAAGCTGGACAGCGCTCGAGCTCACAGGAAGTCGATATAGAATTTTCGTTCCACAAATACAAAGAAAGACTACAGAAACGTTACCTGTCTACATCAGGCTGCTGGTTTCTATTCCTCGAAAAGAGTAAATAAAGGCAGGGACGTCAATGTCAGAAGCCGTTCCCCCCATTTTCCCTGCAAAGGAAAGATAGAAAGAGACGAAGAGACCTCAAGAGAGGGCAACAGAGAAAATTAAATTGCACTTGGGGGCAAATTCTATTAGGGAATAGTTATTGTCTCTTGACAGGTCCTGTCCATTTACGTAATTAGTTGAAGTACGAGGTTCGGCATTGTTTAATCAGAACCAGAATTCAGGTTTATTGGCTTAGTAAGTTACACTTAGGAGACATTGGTGGGAAGCTTCAAAAATTACAGTTAACATGCTATATCAGTCAGATATACAAGAAATTGTATACTGACAATATATATTCAATATATACATCTAGTAGTCAGTATGCAATATAGAATGCACAATACAATATAGGGATACAATACAATAAAAAGCATGTTTAATGGTGTACTGGATGAGTGTGTAATTGTATAAATGGAATCAAATAGTAAATATGAAGCATGCATAACTTAAAAAGTAAACAATGACCCTCCAAAACAATGCAACACAGTGATGGCTGGCCATTGTAGACCAGGTCAGAGATAATATATTATAATTGTCTAATACATTATAATTGGCTAAGGGGTAGATCCTGCTTAGGTTAGAAATTCAATTAAAGGCGACGGTGTTTCACCTTAAGCTTACCATTAAACACTGAAGGATCCCCTGTAATGTTTTTACTTGCTTCAGCAATCGATACCTTTATTTATGTGTATTTAAGTGGGCTCCCATGAAGTGTAGTGATTCTGATATGCATGATTTTTATTGTGTTATTCAATTGAATAAAATACCCTAAAGTGCACATCTAATAGTATAATTAGATATGCACTGAATAATACTAATGTACACCATGCACTTCTATCTAGGTCTAATTGTTTGTTTGTTTTCTGATAACATGAATGCACATTGTAATTGGTACTTATATAGAGCCTGATATTTATTACATGACACTATAATGTTGAATGAATATAGTTCACCTAAAAATGAATTATTTGCTGAAAATGTTCTCACCTTCAGGCCATCCAAGATGTAGATGAGTTTGTTTCTTCATAGAAAAAGATTTGGAGAAATGTAGCATTACATCACTTGCACCAGTGGATCCTCTGCAGTGAATGGGTGCCGTCAGAATGTGCTTCGTGAAAGATGTTTTTAACTTCAAACCTTTGCTTCTGGCTTAAATATGAGTCCTCTATCCATAATATTGCTTCCTCCAGAAAAAGCTGTCTTGTCTGATTCAGGAGAGAAATATGCACAGATCAAGCACTGTTTATTAGCAGTAACAATCCAAAATCGTTTTAAACAAATATGTTGGTAGATTTTTGATACGAGAGGACAACAGGCGATGGATTTTTAGAGGAAGCATTATTATGGATTATGGACTGTTATTTTGGCCAGAAGTGATGGTTTAAAGTTTAAAAACACCTTAAAGACTTTTTTTTCTCAAATGCAGCTTTTCACTTCACAAAGATGTTAATTGATGGACTGGAATCATATGGTTTATTTCATATGGATTATTATAATGTTTTTATGGATTATTATAATGCTTTTTTTTTTTACTTTCATTCTGACGGCACCAATTC